AGGCCATACAGGGCACGCTCAACCTTGACCACGTTGCCGGACATGCTACCACAGCCTTCCGGGAACGTGAGGTATATTTCTTCTTTTGGCTTAGCGTAGATGTGCGCTTGCTTCACATCCCAGTGAGCGAGTTTGTTGCCCTTTTCAGTGGCTACGGCAATCACCGTCTTGATAGACGCTGCAGACGGGCACGCTGAGGATGAGTGGGGGAAGTCGATGCCGGGGATTTGAGAGGAACCCCGCGCAACCATACGGGCCTTGAAGTCGACTATCAGGCCCTTCTTATTCGTCTTCCAAGAGAACACCCACTTTGAACCTATGGCCTTCCGCCCCTCGGGCAGCTCCTTGACCTTGGTAAAGGTTCCAGTCTTGTGGCCATATATCTCTTTCTTCATGGCCGCCTCCCATAAAACCTTGTACTTGGAACACATCACATCCTTGTACGTCATCGGTACTGCTTCCACATCACTCGGCTTCTGCCCGATTGGCGAGGTCATACTTAGCTGTTGGTCTGGGAGTGACCCGCTGGCGTCGACCTCGGCCCCGAACGCCTGCTGTTCCGGGCCCAACACCTCCTGCATCTCGCGCCTGTACATCTCCTCCATACGGCGTGTCTGCTCATCGTCCCACTGCTCCTTCACAAGCGAGTTGCAGATGTAGTCCTCAACAATCCCCGTCCCGCCAGTTCCAGGATGGCCGCCAGCAATGCCTCTTCCGGGTCCGGTGTTTCTCCGGGCCCCGGCATCTTCCCGGCACCTTGCATCTCCCGGATCTGCCTCCACGTGCGGGCACTCTCAAGCCCATGGCGCAGCGGGCCAGCGTTCGAGTCGCCCCAGAGGAGTTTCTTCCCTGCTAGCCCGCGGGGGTAGCGGTCGTCGGCTGGATCATACTTCAACTCCTCGAGGTTCTCGGAGTCGCCGGGATCACCATCGCTACCGCCGTCCCCACCTGGGTCGCCGGACTCTTCGCCGCTCGGGCCGCCGGCACCGCCGGCGTCACTGCTGCTGATGCTCGGGCTGCTGCTGCTGCTGCTGCTGCTGCTGCTGTCGGTGGGGCTGTCACTGCCTCCGCCGAAGTCGCCCCTTCCCGAAGGGGGCGACGGGGGAACGCTGCCTCCGTCCCCCGGAATCCCGTTGGCGGGTGCCGTCGGCACCTGCTCGCGCACAAACGGCGTCGCTTGCCCTGGCCCACGAGCCTCCATTACGTCGAGGTCGGACTCACTCTCTGAGTCTCTCTCCCTCCCCCAACCTTGGCGTGATGCATCCGCTCTGCTCTCGTCAAATTGTTCCAACAGGTTTTCGCCATTTGCTGCCATGCGGAAATCATTTAGCCATTCATTGAAATCTTTCGATTGCCCGCTGAACGGAGGAGAAGTGTACCGCACACTTTGGTACCCCGTCGCTGGGGTTGTGGCTCCGTATCCAAAGCCAACAGCAGCACCACCATCTCCCATGGCACTACTATAATCTTGGTTGTGAGCAGCGGCTACTCTCACCTCTTGGGGGACAAAGCCCCCTGCTTCGCCGCTGTGTCGCCCTGACGGGCCAGACTCTCGAACAGGTTCGCGCAGGTACCTCCTGTCCTGCGCACTCCCGGTCCACAGTGCCCCTCCTTCGGCGTTCGTGGACTCCGCGGCGGCGCTCTCCCTAGCATCGCCGCGATCAGCGGCACCCTCCATGGCGCCAGCTGGCTCCTCCTTCTTGCTTGCCTTCATGGTATCTTCCACTAGCGACATTAGCTGGCTCAGCTGATCCGTCAGCGAGCTAACTTGCGTCCTCAGGGCCACGAGCTCTTCACTTGTCCGCTTTCTGTCTTCCGCCGCAGAGTCGCTGGAGGAGTCACCCCCATCTTTGCAACCTGACATTCCTAATGGACTCTCCCTCGAGGGACTGACACTAGTGTGTTCGTGTATGTCCTTTACTTGGAAGGGGAAGACGTTTTATCTCTCGTATTAGACACGCAAGGGGAGTAGGGAGAAGTGAAGCCCTCTTTGGATTTCGAGGGGTCCCCGCACATGCAACCATTTCAAGGTGTACATATGCCCTCTGTTGTTGCCGGTAGATCTAACCAGTCCGTATCCAAACACACTAACATGTCATCGTGGCAAGTTGTGCAGCGGAATCGCCTTTCAACTCGAATCTGACTGCATATTCATCCAATCAGATCATCAAACACATCATTTCAAAAACAATTTCCGAAACGGCAACAGTTATTCGTGCACAACCCTCAACGCATGTATGTGCCCCCAAAGGTTCAGAATTTATCCGCACCACAGACCTCATCCGAATCGACAAACAAACAACGTTAAGCTGCTTTCATCACGCGTACCTTCAGGTATGTGCCGCCTTCGCAACAGTACACCAGGAGTCAATTGGACAGGTGGAACGATTTGGCGTGTAGACGACGGACAGGCAAGGATGCTTCTTCGTCCGCAATACGAATCCTCTTTACATCGAGAGTACGCAATTCTGCGATAGGGAGGATGTTCGACCTACCTCCAATACATTCATTTATTTCTTTGTTTTTTTTTCTACTTACATCATTCCAACACTTGCAAAAACCAAGGTTATGCCAATGTTAGCAGTGCGTTGCATTTTGCGGTCAACTCATGTTCTGAAACGTGGCCAGACCATGGTCCAATTGTTACCCGGGTATAACACGTAATGTTGGTTTCTTCTGCTACGTGAACAAACAACCACATTTTGAATAATCTTGAACAACACAGTACTTTGGTGTTGACCGGGACCAAACATTCAGGGTGGCAACAATGAGCAAGTTGGACCGTCAATATATCGTAGTTTTCAGGCTTACCACATAAACATATGTGTGTGTACCAGCAAGCAGCAGTAGACATACTCAGTTACATATGTGCGGTGTTGTGTAGTTCGGCAGAAGCAACAGACGCGTGCGTAGTCTATAAGCAGTATGTTGCATTTTGCGTTTAGCTCATGTTCTGAAACATGGCCGAACCATGGTCCGATCGTTACCCGGACATCTATTTACACGTACTAATGGTTTCTTCTGCGGTGTCTGTTCTTCATGCACTTTTCCGATTTTCGGCGTTCATTTCGGCTTCTCCTTTAAGCGTACGTCATTTTCATATATTCCAAGTGCGATGGTGCCGACATTCTATTTACGGACGCCAAAGTATTTGCTGCGAAATAAATTAGGCCAAACAAAGTATTTGTTCTGGATCAAACTACATGCAAATGACGACCTTCTCCGCTTAAACCGTGGCCGCCGTGTCCGTCACGGAAAATGCACGGCTAATCACACAGTGCTTCCAGGTGGCCGTCCCGCCTCATGGCGGGCCGCCGCCAATACCCTAGTACCTGTCTCTTATACACATCTAGATGTGTATNGCCCTTTATCTCTAAGGGCCGTTTTAAAGTGTCGCCACTCCTCCGGTTCTTGCAATCTCCCTCTTGACACAACGTTGCTGTACTTCTGCTATCGGGAATGCAGAGGAGTGGATCCTGGTCGCTGCCCCCGTGGAGGGCACCTTTGACACGGCCATTTCCGGCGGTGCGGGCACGGTCGCCCACTACATCCTGAGCGCCGTTCCTCGGAACGAAATTTTCGAGCCGGTGGTTGGAATGATGGGCTTGATATGGGACAGTACGATACAGGTACAGTACACAACAGAAAGAGGGCTACAATACGGTGATTTCGGTCATCTGTGTGAATCATTTTTCGATGTTCAAACGTCAAGTTGGGGGCGATTTTTTCTGCGTCAATGAACAGGCTGTGTGTAGATGATACCTTTGAAAAGGACACTATATATATGCATACCCCGTCTTTAGAGTTGCAGTGCCGACACCATATTTGTACTCGACAAAAAAGACAACCTTTAGAAGTTACAACAGGAGTTTCATGTACATCTCCTGTCTCTCTTTTCCTCTCTCCACGTCCAGATCATCATTCCAACGGCCATCGTCGCTTGCTGCACCCTGGTCGCCGTGGCTCTCGCCGTCTACTTCCTGGCTGGCTCGATCACCCGCCCCATCGTGAAGATGACCAAGGCCGCACGCAGTACCACCGCGGACGGGGCGGAGCACGACGTCTTCGGCAGTGTAGCGGCGGATCGGGGCATCAAGAAAGACTCGGTCAGGTGAGAAATCTCCGGGGTCATTGACCCACATCTTTGTGGCACAGAATTACTACCAGACGCAACAGCACGCGGGTCCAGTGTGGTAGCTGGCCTATTCGAAGAGGGCAATGTATCATTAAAAAGCCCAAGTTCGTTGGTGTTTTTCCCTGCACTGTTGTTGAAGGGTATAGCTATGGTAATGCGCAGCATGCCAAAGTAGTTGAGTGCGCACGATGCACAAGGGAGCATACGGTACGGTTGTGTGTGTGTTTTTATTATTAGCATCGACCGCGCTAACCGGCTGACCAATGAAAAGACGTCAGTCCCAGCGGGTGTGTTTTTATTATTAGCATCGACCGCGCTAACCGGCTGACCAATTAAAAGACGTCAGTGCCAGCGGGTAAAAATCAAGGTCCCTGGAGGGGGGCGAAATTCGAAAAATGCGCAATGCGCTTGATGCGAATGCCAATACGACTCTCTC